TTTTTTAATTTATTTTTTTTAAAGATGGGGTTTCTCCATGATGGCCAGGCTGGTCTTGAACTCCTGACCTCAGGTGATCCACCCACCTCGGCCTCCCAAAGTGCTAGGATTACAGGTGTGAGCCACCGCACCCGGCCTTTATCCTTGGAATAATTTAGGTATTTGGTGCCAGTGAACTCTGATTTCTGTGTCTTGGTGAAATATGAGTTGGCTTTCATCCAGTGACATAGACTTATTGACAACTCCTTTCCTGGACTACTTGTGTCTGGAGTAATTTTGCAACAGGCCAGTGTAAGTTGCAGGGTGTAGCCCAAAAGCCAGCCAGCTGACAGTTGCTTAAAGGCATTAGTCACAGTTGTAATTCCAAAAATGCATGATTCGCTGTGAAGTGCTGCTCCCTTAAGGCAAGAGATTTATACTATTATCTATATTTTAAGTGGTTTAATATGTTTACCATGTTTACCAAGAAGTTATTTACTTCGGAAGATTGCATATGATGAAAATTTGTAATAATTTCTAATTTTGAATATAAAAAGGCTTTTTATATTCAAAGTTTTTATATTCACAGTTTTTATTCCAGGACAATCGGTATTTCCCCCACCTCTGCTAAGTAAATATTCGAGAGATTTTTTTTTTTTTTTTTTTTTGAGACGGAGTTTCGCTCTTGTTACCCAGGCTGGAGTGCAATGGCGCGATCTCGGCTCACCGCAACATCCGCCTCCTGGGTTCAGGCAATTCTCCTGCCTCAGCCTCCTGAGTAGCTGGGATTACAGGCACGCGCCACCATGCCCAGCTAATTTTTTGTATTTTTAGTAGAGACGGGGTTTCACCATGTTTACCAGGATGGTCTCGATCTCTTGACCTCGTGATCCACCCGCCTCGGCCTCCCAAAGTGCTGGGATTACAGGCTTGAGCCACCGTGCCCAGCCCGACAGATGTTTAAATAATACCGGTTTGAAGGGATGTCAACTCATTAGTCTGACCAGGGTGCCACGGCCCAGTTGGCTCTTACCTGGCGACACACATCGATATCACCTGAACCAATTGGAGAACTCAGCTGTGAGTGAGCTTGCTTGGTGTCTAAATGTGTGCTTGGCTGTCCCCCTATAAGTGGTCTTCCTTGGCCTGCATTACCTCTCTTGGCTTGCTTTAGGGGCTGAAATGGCACTGACACGCTTGAGACAGGATTGCAGTTTCCTTCCCCTAACCGTGGGATCGTATCCCCTCTGCAGGACTACGGATAGTACAGGAGTAGGAGATGAGTAGGAAATGGGATGAGGGGAGTTGTAAGAGGTATCATAAGTCACAGTTAATGGAGGGGAAAGCTTAAGTGCTCAGTAAATGTAGGGCAACACGGAAGAGGGGAGTGGTGCTGAGGTAGTGAGGAGGAGGAGCTGAGACTCAGAGTGGAGAAGGTGCCTGGAGGCTGGCAGGCATTGAGGTCCTCTGGGTCTGATCAGGCAGTCCCAGCTCCAGCCCGTCCCCTGGCCCCTCCCCGCTGCTGGCCAGAGTCACACATGTGTTTTCCTGTTTTCCATTTCGGTCCCCGTCACCCTTTGCTTTTTCTGTTTCTCAGAGTCAACAGCTGCTGCAGCGGGAGCCATACCCTTGGTTCTCCTAACTAGTACCTTCCCCTCTCCTGAGCTGGTAGCCCCTCCTCCCTGCACCTGCCCAAAGATCACTGGACCGGTAAGAGTCGGGAGAGGAGGAACAATGGGTGAGAGGGGAAGTGCAGGAGGAGGATGGAGCCAGTGCTAAAACTCGACTGAATGGTGACCTAAGAGCCTCCTGTTTCTTGGTCCCAACCCTGTCCCTTCCTGGGCTAAAACTTCTGCCCAGAGGCTTCAGCCCTTTGTTAATGGAAACCCTGGCCACAGGAGTAAACAATTTCTTTCTTGTTTCCCTTTTTTTTTTTTTCTTTTTAAAGGGACTGTCTTAGCCACAGTGGAATATAGAAAGACAGAGAACTAGGGTGGGAGGGGCTGAGCTAGCTTGGAGTGATGGGGAAATCCAGTCATGCCAGAGTGTATCTGTTTTCTGTTTCTGTTGTTAGGGGAGGCAGCGCAGACTGGTTGGAGCCAGGAAGAGACGTGGGGTCTCTGGGAGAGAAAGTGTATTCTTACAGTAGTTCCCTGAGCTTGGCTGAGGAGCCAAGACCCCAAATTATGTGCTAGCACCTGGAGGAAGTGTGTTTTGGTGTTGCCATTTGGGGGTGAGGTTAGGGTGAGGGGGTTCCATTGGCTGCTCTGCCCGGCACTACAGGCACTGCATATTGGGTACCCTGCTGCCTGTTTCTGAATCAAATTTCTTCCACAGCCTGTAGGATGAGAGTGATGTTTTGTAATCTTTACTGGGTCCTCAGAGATGAATGCATCTCAGACAGGGAAGGACGACAAGGGCTGCTGTTATCTTACAGGGTTTCTTATATAAAACTTAGGGTAGGCCAGGCACGGTGGCTCACACCTGTAATCCCAGCATTTTGGGAGGCTGAAGTGGGCAGATCATGAGGTCAGGAGTTCAAGACCAGCCTGACCAACATGGTGAAACTCCCGTCTCTACTAAAAATACAAAAATTAGCTGGCGCAGTGGTGGGTACCTGTAATCCCAGCTACTCAGGAGGCTGAGGCAGGAGAATCACTTGAACCCAGGAGGCAGAGGTTGCAGTGAGCAGAGATCGCGCCACTGCACTCCAGCCTGGGGGACAAAGCAAAACTCTGTCTTGGGGGAAAAAAGAGCCCCTTTTTCTGCCCTGGGGTAGAAGAGCCCCTTTGGGAGGGCCTATTGGTGCTGCTGGTCCCAGGCGACCTGAATGGTGGAAGCATTACCCCAAGACCCAGGGTCTTAGGAAGAAATGTGAGTGCCAAAGATGGTGCCTTCTTGTGCAGGGTGCTAGGTAGTGGTTGAAAAAAGAAGGGGCGGGGTTCAAAATCTCCATGAATGGCAGCCTCCCTTGCCTAGTTTGCATGGGCAGACTGAAGTAGGCTAGAGTCCACACATAGTACTTCCTGGTGCTACCACTAGGGTGTGCTGTTTGCTGGAATGTGGGTTTTACCCCTAGCAGATTTCTGTCTCAAGATCCCATGGAGAGGACTTTACTTTTTAGATGCTATCAGTCAGGAATGAAACCTTGTACACTTCTCTCCCCATTCCCCCTGACAGTTTTCCCTTCCTTTGTCACTCCTTCCTTCTTTTCTTTTACGTCATATTAAGACACATGCCCACCCCTTGGTGCCAGTGAATTTGGTCTTAAAAGGGCAAGCATGGTGATGTGTTTGTGTGTGTTTTTGTTTGCTTTAGAAGTGGGCACCCTAGCAATAGCAGTACTGCCAAGAGGACTTGTAATCGCCTCTTATCCCTGCAAAGAATGAGAAAGGGGAGGGGCAGCCAGGAAGGAGATGAACAAACTTTGCTGGAGCCTTTAGCCTAGGCTACAGGCTGAAGGATGACAGAGGCTTTCTTTTTAAGCTAGTCTGATTACATCTTCCCCCAGGTAATTCATGTAGATAATTCCTGTCGGCTGGGCTTGGTGACTCATGCCTGTAATCCCATTGCTTTGGAGGCAGAAGCAGGTGGATCACTTGAGGTCAGGAGTTCAAGACTGGGCTGGCCAACATGGCAAAATCCCGTCTCTATTAAAAATGCAAAAATTAGGCCAGGCACGGTAGCTTATGCTTGTAATGTCTGTAATTCTAGCACTTGGGGATGCTGAGGTGGGCGGATTGCCTGAGTTTAGGAGTTCAAGACCATCTTGGTCAACATGGTGAAACCCCAACTCTACTAAAAATACAATAAATTAGTTGGGTGTAGTGGTGTGCAGCTGTAATCCCAGCTACTCAGGAGGCTGAGGCAGGAGAGTTGCTTGAACCTGGGAGGCGAAGGTTGCAGTGAGCAGAGATCATGCCACTGCATTCAGCCTGGGTGACAGGGTGAGATTCTGTCTCAAAATAAATAAAAAATAAAATAAAATAAAAATACTAAAATAAAAACACGAATACTAGCCACGTGTAATCCTACTTACTCAGGAGGCTGATGCATGAGAATCACTTGAACCAGGAGGTTACAGTGAGTTGAGATTGTGCCACTGCACTCCAGCCTGGGTGGCAGAGTAAGACCCTGTCTCAAAAAAATAATATAAAAGGAAGGCCTAGAGACTAGGGCAGGTCAGGGGATGGGGAGATGGAGAGATAGTATACCTGCGTGATTAAGAGTATATGAGCTCTGGTGGTTCCATCAGATAATGTGCTTAAGTGCTTAGCAGTATGTCTGGCCCAGGTATTGCCCAATAGCAATTACTATTACAGAAGCATTTTGGAGAAAAGGATAGTTTCCTCCAGAAGGATTTCAGATCATCGTGAGCCTGTCTTGGGAGAAGCATGATCTCTGGGAAGGCTAACACCAGAATCCTCCTCCTAATTTAAAAATTTAAAGAGCTAGAATGGAAGGATGTAGGGTAGAGATGTCGCTCAGAGATATTTCGATCTCTATTCTCTGTTTGTAGAATAACTAAAGAGGATTAGAACAGGTGTGACAAGGGACAGACAGTTGGATTTCAGAATGGATAGGGTCTATTTCTGTTGGTAAAAGAGATGCAGAATACCAGATTTAAAGTAAACAAGATAGTAAAGAATAAATACAGAATAAACTATGTGATTTCAAAAAAATGCTCAGCTTCTTCTGCCTGTTCTGGGCCTGTCTGTCCAACAGAATTCAGTGAAATCTGATTTCCTCGTATTTTTAGGAAAGCAGAATAACCTTGTATTTGGGAAAGGTGTTTATAGGAATTTATGCTCATCCCAAAGATCTTGGTATGTTTTCTCAAGGATGAAAGGGCACATGGGTCTGGTGGGGATGCAGTTGGAGATTTGATCTCTTGACTGTGTTTCTTCTTCTTCTTTTTTTTTTTTTTAAGATGGGGTTTCATCATGATGGCCAGGCTGGTCTTGAACTCCTGACCTCAGGTGATCCACCCACCTTGGCCTCTCAAAGTGCTAGGATTACAGGCGTGAGCCACAGCGCCTGGCCTGACTGTGTTTCTTTTTAAGTAGTCTGAGGCTCAGACTTTGAGGTAGTGGCTCAGGTTTGGAGGCAAATCCCCAGTCTCTCTTTGCATGGGGAAGTGTGCAGAGTTCTCTTACAATGCCCAGTCACACTTCCTGTAATCTCAGCATGGGAACAAGCCTTTGTGTCACACTGTGCAACCTTCCTCCCTTTCTTAAATGTTTGGGGTGAGAGAGAAGAGAGGCTAGGGTGGGGCGTGGAGAACACAGAGAGAGAGGGAGAGTGCCGTGTATTCCTTCCCGGCTGCTGACCTGTCCTCAGCTAACTGGCCTGGGACAGTTTCCTCAGGGTTACAGAAACTGCACCCAGCTGACTATCCTTTCTTCTGGGCCCCCAGTCCCAGAGCATAGCTGACAAAGGAGATTCCTGAGAGAGCGCCTTCTTATCACAGAAAGTGCTGAGCCAAGAGCTCCTAGCTGCCCCTTTTGCAGATGTGAAGAGTCAGTGAACCTTGGACCCAGATGGTTGCTTAATACTCCTTTCCCCCTCCCTCATCTCTTCCTTTGTGGGCTGCCTTGCCTCCTCCACCCTTCTTGCTTAAATCCATAGGCATTTGTTTGACCTTTCCTTTTACCGCTGGCTGGAAAGGAGGAGCGTCTGACCACAGATCCTGGAAGGCATTTCTCTCCCTGACTGCTGCTGGCACTGCCGTGAGAACCTGCTTATATCCAGGACCAAGAAGTGAATGTGCGTTCTACCCTCTCCTCTCATTCCTGCTCACCTTGCTTACCCTCCTCTTTGCTGCTCTGCAGTGTCTAATCGCTTCGTCTCCTGAGTGCCTTGCCCTAATATCTCTCCATTGCTTGACTAGCCTCTCCTGTTTTCCTCTCAGCTGCCTCCTGCTCAGTGTTTTCCTGCATGAGCTGCCTGGCTACAGCTGTGTGCCTGCGTTGGCTTTGGGTGGTGTCTCTCCAGCAGCAACTCTGGTGTAAGAATGGCTATCAGCTGCCTCCAATCATCTCTAGGTTTCACTGTACATTGGATCACCTTTCTCTCATTCATACTTTTTTGGGTGATTTAAGGATGCTGATGTGAGGGATCTGATAGCAGGAGGCTTGGAATACCAGAGACTGGGAAAGGTATCTGGGAAAGGAAAAGCAAGGAAAAGAGAATAACTGGTCTTCTTTCAGGGTGAGGTGGGTCTACTTGGGCTTTGCCGGGGCTGAACACTCCAGCTAAGGGTTAAGGGATGCTCCTTGGGCAGGAGGATGGTTGTGGGTTTCCAGCAGATTTCTAAAGGCTTTAGGTTTGTCACACGTAGAGTCCTTGGGAAAAAGAGTAGGTTGTGAGGTGCTCCCACAGATTAGTTGCTTGTAAGGTTGGTTCCTAATGTTGTATCTCAGCACAGGTGATTGCTGAAGCTGAAATTGGAGGGAAGATGGGTTTTGGATAAGGCTGAAAACTCAGGCTCAAGCCATTATGATTTTTTTCTGGGAGCTGCCACACTGCCCCCATGCCTGTCTTGTATCATAGCAGGCTCAAAGAGAACCAAGATTTAGTTTTCTATTTGGTGAGTTGGGTGGGCAGCAATATCCTAATGATGAGAGACAGCTGCTTTCTTTCTGGGGAATGAGTGAGTGCCTTCTCTTAAAAATTCAAGTTGAGGGCCGGGCGCGGTGGCTCAAGCCTGTAATCCCAGCACTTTGGGAGGCCGAGGTGGGTGGATCACAAGGTCAAGAGATCAAGACCATCCTGGTAAACATGGTGAAACCCCGTCTCTACTAAAACTACAAAAAATTAGCTGGGCATGGTGGCGCGTGCCTGTAGTCCCAGCTACTCAGGAGGCTGAGGCAGGAGAATTGCCTGAACCCAGGAGGCG